TTGCGTTTCCGCCTTTTCGCGTGCGGTTTTCCCAGCGACTCCAAGCAAATACGTTTGGATGCTGATCAAACTGTCTCGGTCATGGAGTTGCCATTTGTCTATGCGTCGAGAGCTGATGTGTTCGTGCCTTGATAAGTTGGTGTGGCCACCGGAAACGACATTGCTGCAACGGAAACAGCATTTCAAGCCTGCAAATCCCTTTGCTCCTGTTAACAATTTGATTCCATCTGCGTCCGCAAGGATGTTGATTTCCTTGATGTGTAACAATTTTGGTGTTCCATCAATTTCGACCAAGAAACCATTTTTGGTTTCTTCCTTGAGTGCTTGCATGAGAGCTGCGATGGCACGCGGATATCCTTGTGGCAACTGTTGCAAATCTTTGGTGCGAGAGACTGAGACCGTCCACCAACATGTGGATGCCCACAAGATTGGCAGCTCTTTGAAAGTACAATACGTCAAAGCACTTTTTCGACGTAGGTCAGGTGCAAGAATATTTCCTGGAACCGCTTCATCCCATGCAACGACTAGCTCTAGCGTGTCGTTGTGAGAAGCCATTGCGTCCGCCAGACATTCTTTGAAGAATACACTTCTGTTGACCTTTTTTTGCACCGTGTCGGCAATAGAAAAAAAAGGGATGGAAAGTTTTTGTTCCTGCACTTCCAAGGTTATGTTCCGGAGTGCTGGAAGAGCGACTGGGTATTTTTGGTGCGGCAGCTGTTCACTTCTCACTCCGGTTCTTTTTTGGTCGCAGTGCAAAAGGTCTATCACTTGCCGGCATTGGGCGTGGGATAGCGACGGCAACTGCCGCAATGCTTGAAACTGTTCGTCAAAGGATGCATTTGAATCCAATTTTTTTCGTTTCATGGAAAGGTACAAGAGCCGATATAGCTGCAGTGCCAACAGAACGTCTTGTACATGGAGCGCAGTGCCAATATGCGCTCATTGCTGTGCATTCTCTGTGTCAATATTTTTTGTCTTACTTCGGGTATGCAGGGGTTCCATTTTTTTCCATAGCATAGAACCATATGTAGACTGAGTGCCGGACTATAATTCAAACAACTAAATCCTTCTAGTTTTTTCGTATATAGTGTATCCTGATCACAGCATGGAGTTTTGCGACACAAAATTTTACCAGAAGAAATATTCACCCAGAAGCAAGAAGGTAGCCTCTTTTCGATTCACCACACAGAACTCAAGGGAGATCCCGCGAAGGCACAAGTTTTGAATTATATGTTTCCACCGATTTTGCCTCAGCTTTCCGGCCATTTTTTGTGTTCTGATATGTTCATGTCACGGTTGGACAGGCTTTGGACAAACCAACTCGCTTGCTGCCGGCCGCATCATATGCAGCAGCTGCCTTGTCACACACAGCTGCTGCCTTTTCACTTTTATCGTTTTCTTCGTTATCTGAGATAACGATGATATTCGCTTCTTCCTGCGTCTTTGCACGCAGCAAACACACGCGAATATCTAGGTGTAGACCCAAGTCATGTTGGCGATATCGCACCCTAAATGGTTCTTCCAAATCTTCTGCGGCCGCACATACTTTTTGCGAAGTCATTCGTTACCATTTGAACCAGCTGGTCTATCGGGACAATCACATATGCTCTTTGATTTCTTCCACAAAGGCCATCGAATATTTGGATTGACACATGCTCCGGCTACGGAAAGGGACAGGAATGGCAACCGAGATGATATGTGGAATTCCTTTTATGGAGGTCTAGGTATATTAATGAATATGTATATATATATGTGTATATATATATATATGTATATATATGTGTGTACCTATATATGTATATATATATTTATACATATTTTATGTATATACTTACATATGCGTCTGCGAGTGCGCAGATACTATCATCGAATCGAAGAATACCTCTGGGCTACGGGTCTTTGGTATTATACTAGCTACGCATAGGGTACCATCAAAATTCAACTATCCATTGTCGTATAGAGATATATATATATATATATTTATTCCCACAGATAAGTATATTACAGAGTTTCATAGTATTTTAGGGATCCAACCTTTTCTCTCCCAGTGAATGCATAAAACCAGTTCCCTTTTCGTCCACAGCCGGTCACAACGGTTCGCGTCCCAAGTCAAGCAGTATATTGCGACAGCTAGCCCAAAAGTTGCCCAAACTGCAGCAGACCTGCGCAAGCCCTCTGTGCAAACACATCTATGGGCTTGCGGCATGGTGCTCTTATTTCTGCAGACTACCCCTTGCCTGCACAGTGCCTTCATAGCCGCACGAAAGTGTTCTTTGGCCTGCACGGTCATTTCGGTGCAGCAGACTTTGCGCGCCGGCGCTTTGGAGCTGGCTCTGCAACTACACCGTCGGGCGCAGATGGGTCGACCAAAGGGGTCGGAGCCGCCTTTGCCTTTGCCTTTCCTTTCGGTTCCTTTTTCGGCAATGCGGCGCGCATGCTTTGCTGCAAAACCTGCGCTTGCATCTGCAATGCTTTGAGGTCTGAGCCTTCATAGGGAAGAGCCGGCAAAAGCTGCAGCTCATCCATCGCACGCGTCGCTTCCTGCGCATTCACACAGCTGCGTGACGCCTCTGCCCATGCACGCAGCGTCGTGATGCACTTGTCCACCGACGCCATCGTTCCTTCTGCTAGCTGCACAGCGGCTTTCTCAAGCTTTTCCTTCCCTTTCTCCAGGGAGGTGAGAGTGCTCTGCAGAGGTCCCATGGCCTTTGCCGCACGGTTAGACAAAGTGGTGTTCTTCGCAAGGATCGACTTCCTGTCTTTCTCTTCTTTCTTCTCATCCCGTCCAACGTCTTTGCTTTCGGCTGATGGCAAATCCATCTCCGCATCAGAACTGTTCTGCTCTGCTTGGCCTCTCCTTTTTTTCCCTTTCTTGGTCTCAAAAGCCTCCTGTTCGTGACGTAAAATTTCTTCCTGGATTCGGTAGTGCTCTTCACTCCAAGATGTGGCTCGGATGGGCACTTTGTAGACCTGGCAGCCAAGCTCTTTGCTGAAAAAGTTCTGCTGCGCCTCCACTGTTTCTCGTTTCCACCCCTGCGACAGCCAAACTTCCATGGGAAGTTCTTTTCCTGTCACAGTATTCTTGAAGGTCTCCATGCGCTTATCCGTCATAGCGGTGACAAGGACTGCTTTCAGCGTGGTCCAGCTCAAGCGCCCGTTCTTCGCTTCCTTTTTCTTTTTGTGAATATCACGGAAGAACTTGCAAGCCTCACTTGCAGAGAACGTGTTCAATCCATGTTTTTCACCAAGGTTGTTGCGAAGAACTCGCTCAGAGGAACTGCACGTTGTGCATTGGAAGCATTTACCATGCACTCGTCCTTCTCCAGGCTGGTACGAGTAGCAGCAGCTTTTGCACACCAGCGTTTCAGGTTCAGGTTCCGCCATGGCAAGCGGATAGAAACGGAACGACGCAGATGGAGACTAGACAAAGGTCTATATATGTACTTGTATATGTATAGGTACACAACAGTGAGCCACAAAAGCGACGGCGCATCAGAGAAAGTCCATCGAAATATATGCATCCACACACGTGCAATATAAATGCAAATGTGCTCAGGCAGCCAGATCATAGATGGAAAACGTGAAAAAATATGGCAGGAGAGATGCAAAACTATAACATGTCACATGTGTCCGCGGAACAGCGCGGATAACTTCATTCCGGTTTCCGCGGATAACTTTTCCTCTTTTCCTTTCCATGTATACATATTCCGCGGATGTTCTACCAAACTCTTTGTTTCCCGCGGAACAGCGCGGAACTGCGCGGATAACTCCGCTCACGGCGTCACAGCAGCAAGCGACCGCAGCTGCTCTATGGTTCCAGCCACTGCAGCGAGAGCTGTCTCATACCACTGCAGTACCTGACTGCTCATGGTGCATTCAATCTCCGGGAGCAACGCATTCAGCAACCGCTCCGCTTCTTCCGCAGGCTGCAAGTGCTCGCGGGGAGATCGAATTGCATCCATCCAGTCCGAGGTCCCTCTGGGCTCGTCAACGGCCACCACGAGACACCCCGGACTCTCTGGAAGCAACTGCATTGGGTAGTGGGCCAAGCCACACGTTCCCAGCAACCTCAGACACCGCAGACTTGCCGTAGCATCTGCATCCGCTTCTCCTGCGGAACTTCTGGCCCAGGCGAGCCACAAGGTCGCTCGAATGCATTTGACCTGAGGGGCACTGCAGATGCCATAGAGTTTTTCTGTCAACTCATGCATTGCAGCAGAATCTACCACAAAATCAAAGTGTATTTCCGACGGCCCTGAGCTGCGGTGGCACATGCTCCAAAGCGTACTTTCCAGCTGGCTCACCGCCATTTCTATCCAGAAAGCTTCCCGCGTAAAGCGGGTGTCACTCTGAAGGCCGCTCAACAGCGATGCGCCGTCCTGAAGGGCCGCATTGAACTGACTGCGGTGATACCCTCCGACACGCTCCTCGTATCGGTGCCATCTGTCATGCTCAAAGGATGAGACGTGACATGCTACAACCGCAACATGCGTATCCTCCTTATCCCAGATACGAAAAGTTGCTGCCCACAGCAAGGAGTAGCATCGCCCGAGCACCTCCTGGATGCCATACTCTCGATAGTGCCAGGAACGACACTGTGCCATGTCAAGGCATTCACACATATTGTTCCATGCGTCACCCCATTGAGGTGCGGTGTCTGGAACCCACACCCGACCCCTGACATGGGATGATCTAGCCTTTTGCAAGATTCGTTGCAGCGAGCGCATGTGCCCATGCGAAACGGGGAAAGACACGTCTCGGTCCATGCTTTGCAGCAGACCAGATCCTCTACACGTACCCTGCTGGAAAAACAGCTGCGGAAACAAGCAAGTCTTGTATACTTGCTTACATGGTTATTATATATATATATATATCTATGTGTGTATGTGTCCTTGACAAACCAACCCTGGACACCAACGTACACTAACCATCAGGACGCTCCGACACTTTTTGTCGCTACATCGATATAGCTCTGTGTTGCGCACTACTGACCCTGGCACTCAGTGAAAGTTGATGACCACCTGCTTGCGTTTCGGCGCTCGATGTCCACTCGAGCTAGAAGACTCTGACCCCTTGTGCGGCTTCTTTTTCTTCTTCTTGGAACCAACGGATTCCGGGCTGGAGTCCTTCTTTGCTTTCTTTTTTTTCTTCACTTGGTCATCCACCGGGCGTTCCACCGTCGTAAACGATGGCTCTGCCACGGTTGGCTTCTCTTTCGCGCGCAAACGCACTGGGCCACCTGACGACATGGGGCGGTCCAGCACGCTCGGCTGACGAGTCTCCTCGTCACTGGGCAGGCCACTGCCATCATCCACGGCTTCCGTGGTGCGAGCACATTTCGTATGGAATGCGTTCTCACGACATTTGGCCCAGGCCCCTGGTTCACCTTGCTGACTGTACGTCAGCCGTTCCCAGTTTTGGTGCGCAATGCACCACTCATTCAACCATTGGTGCTGCTCCAAAGCCGCCTGATGAGCAGCCACCCGGGTTTTGCACAGTGGGCATTTCCAGCGCTTGGCACCCTTGAAGTTGCCTTTCCCACCCTTGGGACCACGCTTCCCCTCACCTTCTGCTTTCTTCGTTCTCGGAGGTGATGGTGGTTCTGGAACACGTGAGCGCGTCCTATCATCCTCCTTGCGTCCCGGTGGTTCGAGTGGTTCAGGAACGCTGGAGCGCGTCTTTCCATGGCCACCGCCATGGTGACTGTTCCTGCCATCGCGATGGCCACCGTCACGGCTCTCAGCACGTGACTCACGGCGTCTGCCACGCTCCCTGCCACGCTCTTCACGAGTGCGACGTCTTCGACGACGTCGAGACCTCGATGGGGACTTCTCCGCCTTCGTGTCGAAAGGCGATGCCTTTGGTTTTGGCTCATCATTCTCGTCCTCTTCCTCATCGTCGTCGTCGTCGTCGGACGAAGAGGCCATGGCACCTGCATGCAGCAAAGACAGCAATATAATCCATACATTTATATATATATACATATGTATATATATATAAATATATATCTATCTACAGGGAAAGGGGTTTGTTATGGATGTACCGATATATAGTTTCACATATAGACACAAATATGTATATATATATACATGTAAATATATAAGTATGTAGAATGAGTAAAAATATCTTCATCACCGCGCAGGTGATGATGTAGTAAGCTATGGTTTGCGTGTACCACGCTGGTACATGTTCCATCACCACGCAGGTGATGTCGTCTACCACGCAGGTGGATGTTCCATGTACCACGCAGGTACATGTTCCATCACCACGCAGATGATGTCATCCACCAAGGATGGTGAATTGACCATGTACCACGCAGGTACATGTTGCATCACCACGCAGGTGATGTCGTCCACCACGCAGGTGGATGTTCCATGTACCACGCAGGTACATGTTCCATCACCACGCAGGTGATGTCGTCCACCACGCAGGTGGATGTTCCATGTACCACGCAGGTACATGTTCCATCACCACGCAGGTGATGTCGTCCACCACGCAGGTGGATTGTCCATGTACCACGCAGGTACATGTTCCATCACCACGCAGGTGATGTCAGCCCACCACGCAGGTGGATTGTCCATGTACCACGCAGGTACATGTTGCATCACCACGCAGGTGATGTCGTCCACCACGCAGGTAGATGTTCCATGTACCTCGCAGGTACATGTAGCATCACCACGCAGGTGATGTCATCCACCACGCATGTAGACGCCGCATGTACCACACAGTCACGGCTCCATCAAGAAAAAATATATCCACATATATTTATATATATATGTATCTAAACATATATACACAATTGTCCATAGAATTAAAAATACATGTGCCGCAACCCGATCCTGCCTGCGCAGCCCGTCAGCAGCCACCACAAGTTGCGCACAGCACAGCTACAGAAATAGCTTGAGCCCTATAGCATTCGTATGAGCAATGTTGTTGCAACGATACATGACACCGATTTCGAAAAAAAACCAGCTGATACCTGTTTTGCACGCATGAAAATATTCCCATTGAAACTATTTCTTTCATTTATAATGCTTTGCTCATCGATAAGTATGATGCACTCATGGTATAAGAAAACGCAACCATTGAGTTGCTGCAACTACCCCTAACAGCACACCCTTTTGGCATCCGCCAGGTTTAAGTTTCTTCAACAGCTCCGCAGTCGCGACTATGGTACTCCTCTCTAAAACGTATACACCATCAAATGGTGTAACCCCTCTCAAACCAACAGCTCAAGGTGCAGTATGGTCTGCCACGGCATTTTGAGCAACCGTTGGCATATTCGTTCTGAAGCGGTTTTGGAACCCGTTTGAACAACAAACGGCGCTTCTCTTCCTTCTCTTCGGCTGTCTCAGAAGGTCGCTTCTTGGAAGCGACTGCAGCAGGTCTCTTCATTTTTCCCCTGCCAGCTGGGCGCTTCATGCAAACCTTGGAAGGCTTGTCTGGTGAAAGCCACTGCTCAGCATCTCCTTTCATTTCTTTTTCCTTGCAAACAGCGTTCTTTTTTGTTTTTTTCTCAACCTTTGCCTTTGGTGCCCTCTTGGACCTCTTCGGCGGATCCTTTTTGTCTTGTTGAAGATCAGCTTGCAATGCAGCGATCATGCTCGCTGCATCCTTTCCCTCATGCGAAGAAGATCCTCCAGCCTGCGTAGTTCCATCCGTCAAAGCTAATTGCTCCTTCGGTTTCGAAGCCGAAGCGGCCTCACACGGAGGCTTCAAGAGTTTGAAACCCGGCAGCTCAGGCACAGATTCTGCTCGCTGCAGAGCTCCAAACTGCGAAGCCACGGCTTGGACTGTCGCTGCAGCCATGGCTTGCATCATGTGCCCGCTTTCCAAGGTTCCTGGCAAAGAAGATTTCTGGCTAGTTGTAGCTGTCAAATGCGTCTTCCTCAAAGGCCATGTGCGAGCCAGCTGCAACACTTCCGGCATCGTCTTGTGGCTTGGCGAACCAGGACGAAATCCCTGTGGGTATGCTGCTCGCAACAGCTCAGCTGGACACTGCTCCACATCACACGGCAGGACCAAAAGATGCAAAGGCGGTTGCACTGCCACTTTCAATGTCCGTTTCATTATCGGCTTCCATTTTGCCAATAACCCCAACTTCTCACAATCGAAAATGACAGTGGCGGGAGACAAGGCGAAGGAAAGCGCATACAAAAATGCATACGTTTCCTCCGTGGGATTTGTCAATCCCAATCGAGCTGCATGCTGACATAAAAGCTCGCAATTCTTTTCTTTCTCTTTACCTTGGGCCGTCTCCAAGCGACACCACCATGCATCATCCAAGTACATCGGCAAAGCCGAAAAGTCTTGCTGCTTCGCACGTTGCGACCCTTCTTCTTCCACTGCGTCGCCAACCGTTTGGTCCGCAACCAAACTTTTGAGCTGACTCAGTGACGACTCATCCCACAACGTGGAATCCAAGCTCGCCAAGACTCCAGCCGCCTGCTCTATCGTCAGCTTTGCTTTGCGAGTCACTGCCATTAGTCTTTCCAACTGTTTCAAGCGAAGCTCGCCATATTGAGGCAATGAAACCAAGCCAACTAAGAACTTTTGCGATGCAACCAGCTGTTTCTGAACTTGAGCCATAGCGTCTGCAACAATCTTTTTTCGTTACCGGAAATTACATTTCCCCCCAAAAAACAAATTTTATCAAAAACCTAACTCGTTCCTAACTTTAAATTGTCCCCTAAGCTAACTCCACTTATAACTTCATAAAACCATCTTAAGTTCACCTCCGCAAGATACAAGTTATCAATACACTTATCAACTTCTGACACAACTTACAGCCCGCTAAGTCCATTTATAACTATGTTATAAATCGCTAAGTTCAATCAGCGCTCTAAGTAAGAATTAGATAGCAATGGAAAATCCTCCATTTCGTTCCATGATTTTCCCGATCAAAGCCCAGCCGGCATATTATACCTTTTCCAATTAGCGTCACTTCCGAATGGTATGACCGAGCGACTTGACCACACTTCCAATCTGAAAATGTTTCTCAGTCATCATTCCATATAGAAAAATACCGAACAATCTCCACAATAATCCCTTCGTCCTATTACTAAAACTCCACCAAATAAAAACAAGATGCAGCCCACGAACCCGAATGCTCACACGTATGTTAATGGCACAGATGTCGAAACATATGGATATGCAGTACCGCAGAACACTTTTCTGCAAAAGTTTATTTGAACAGTCTTGAACATATTTCCCCTGTTACCAGTCTGCAGTGTGGAGTGTGGAGTGGAAAGTGCAAAGTGAAAAGTGTGGAGTGTAAAGCGTAGAGTGTGGAGTGAGGAGTCTAAAGTGTAAATTGTGGAGTGTGGAGTGTAAAGTGTCGAGTTTGGAGTGCGGAGTGTAAAGTGCAAAGTGTAAAGTGTGGAGTGTAAAGTGTGGAGTGGGGAGTGTGGAGTGCGTAAAGTGTAGAGTGTGGAGTGTGAAGTGGAAAGGGTAGAGTATGGAGTGTGGAGTGCGAAGTGTAAAGTAAGGAGTGTGGAGTGTAAAGTAAGGAGTGTGGAGTGTAAAGTGTGGAGTGTGGAGTGAGGAGTGTGGATTGTGGAGTGGGGAGTGTAGTGCGTGGAGTTTGGAGAGTGTAAAGTGTGGAGTGTGCAATGGGTAAACTGTGGAGTGTGGAGTGTAGAGTGTGGAGTGTAAAGTAAGGAGTGAGGAGCGTAAAGTGTAAAGCGTGGAGTGTAAAGTGTAAAGTGTGGAGTGTGGAGTGTAGAGTGTGGAGTGTAAAGTAAGGAGTGAGGAGCGTAAAGTGTAAAGCGTGGAGTGTAAAGTGTAAAGTGTGGAGTGTAGAGTGTAGAGTGTAAAGTGTAGAGTGTAAAGTGTAGAGTGCGGAGTGTGGAGTGTAAAGTGTGGAGTGTGGAGTGTAAAGTGTGGAGTGGGGAGTGTAAAGTGCAAAGTGTAAAGTGTGGAGTGTAAAGTGTGGAGTGGGGAGTGTGGAGTGCGTAAAGTGTAGAGTGTGGAGTGTGAAGTGGAAAGGGTAGAGTATGGAGTGTGGAGTGCGAAGTGTAAAGTAAGGAGTGTGGAGTGTAAAGTAAGGAGTGTGGAGTGTAAAGTGTGGAGTGTGGAGTGAGGAGTGTGGATTGTGGAGTGGGGAGTGTAGTGCGTGGAGTTTGGAGAGTGTAAAGTGTGGAGTGTGCAATGGGTAAACTGTGGAGTGTAGAGTGTGGAGTGTAAAGTAAGGAGTGAGGAGCGTAAAGTGTAAAGCGTGGAGTGTAAAGTGTAAAGTGTGGAGTGTAGAGTGTAGAGTGTAAAGTGTAGAGTGTAAAGTGTAGAGTGCGGAGTGTGGAGTGTAAAGTGTGGAGTGTGGAGTGTAAAGTGTGGAGTGGGGAGTGTAAAGTGCAAAGTGTAAAGTGTGGAGTGTAAAGTGTAGAGTGAGGAGCGTAAAGTGTAAAGTGTGGAGTGTAAAGTGTAGAGTGTGGAGTGGAAAGTGTAGTGTGGAGTGTGGAGTGTAAAGTGAGGAGTGTGGAGCGTAAAGTGTGGAGTGAGGAGCGTGGAGTCTGTAAAGTGTAGAGTGTGGAGTGTAGAGTTTAAAGTGTAGAGTGTAAAGTGTAGTGTGTGGAATGTAAAGTGTAGAGCGTGGAGTGTGGAGTGGGGAGTGTCAAGTGTAAAGTGTGGAGAGTGGAGTGTCAAATTTAAAGTTTGGAGTGTAAAGTGTAGAGTGTAAAGTGTAGAGTGTGGAGTGTGGAGTGTAAAGTGTGGAGTGTGGAGTCTAAAGTGTGGAGTGGGGAGTGTAAAGTGCAAAGTGTAAAGTGTGGAGTGTAAAGTGTAGAGTGAGGAGCGTAAAGTGTAAAGTGTGGAGTGTAAAGTGTAGAGTGAGGAGCGTAAAGTGTAGAGTGAGGAGTGTGGAGTGTAAAGTGTAGAGTAGAGTGTAAAGTGTGGAGTGCAAAGCGTAAAGTGTGGAGTGTAAAGTGTAGAGTGTGGAGTGAGGAGTCTAAAGTGTAAATTGTGGAGTGTGGAGTGTAAAGTGTAGTGTGGGGAGTGTGGAGTGGAAAGTGTAGAGTGTGGAGTGTGGAGTGTAAAGTGAGGAGTGTGGAGTGTAAAGCGTGGAGTAAGGTGTGTGGAGTGTGTTAAGTGTAGAGTGTAGTGGAGTGTGGGGTGTAGAGTGTGGAGTGTGGAGTGTAGAGTGTGGAGTGTAGAGTGTGGAGTGTAAAGTATAGAGTGTAAAGTGTGGAGTGTAAAGGGTGGAGTGCATTGTTGCGCCAGCCACACAAAAGAACTTTGACACGTTATCAAGCAGGTTGGACTGTCACAAAGTGCCACGCTTGCCACGCAAAACGACATGACAACCTGCTTGAAAACCTTCGAGAAGGAGATGTTTTGCAGCTTCCCCCAAAGACAAGGCGAGGCCACAGGAAAGCCAGAGACTCGAGACGAGACACGTGGGCGCAGAAAAACGAGCATTCCGTGCGAGACGTCCTCCAATTTTGAGACTTTCGACACGTTATCAAACAGGTTGGACTGTCACAAAGTGCCACGCCTGCCACGCAAAACGACACGACAACCTGCTTGAAAACATTCGAAAAGGAGATGTTTTGCAGCTTCCCCCAAAGACAAGGCGAGGCCACAGGAAAACCAGAGACTCGAGACGAGACACGTGGGCGCAGCAAAACGAGCATTCCGTGCAAGACTTCCGCTAATTTTGACACTTTGTAGCTTCAAAATCAACGTTTTCCTACGAGTTTTCTCAGGAACCTGAAATTTTATGAAATTTTGCTATCTCAAAATCGATGCTTCGTGCGAGGCTTCCGTCAATTTTCATCACATCTCACAAAATGCCACGCCTGCCACGGAATCTGCACCCTGTCGCCGCTTGACGCAGCCCTGCCAATGCGATTTGCGCACACGACACGTCTAAAGTGCTGCGCCTGCCACGCAAAATGCCGATGGAAACGTCCAAAGTGCTGCGCCTGCCACGAAAACTGCAACGCATCTTCTGAAAACGTCGCGAAAGTATTGCGCCTGCCACAGAAAAACGATTTTCGACACGTTACAAAACACGTCTGAATGTCACGAAGTGCCACGCCTGCCACGCGAAACGAAGGAACACGACGTTTGAAACTTCCAAAAACGACCCCTTCTGGAGAACTTACCATAGGCACGGCAATATGGCCCTCACGCGGACGTTTGCGAACGGTTGCGGACGGTTGCGAACGGTTGCGAACGGTTGCGGACGTAAACGCAACGTTGAGCGAACACACCCTCAGCCCCCAGACCCCCAGAGTGAAACGGGAACCCTTGCTACGCATTCGGGAAAAATAGGATTGGTGTGGCACTTCCGGTTTTTTGGTTGGGCACAATCGGAGTCTTAATTGCGGAAATTAAGAATCAATAGGAGAACAGGATGGTGAAACGATGAGGGTTCAACCCCCTATTAATAAAAATACCTTGCCACCTGGAGGTTTTTTATTAGGGTCCCATCTGACAAGTTTTACTTTTTGTTTAAATATTATCAGGGTTTTTCATTGGAATATTAGGGGAACCCTAATACATCCTAATACTGTCCTCTGATAATAAAAATTGATCACCATGTTTACCATTTGGGGTGGAGGGGGTGGGGAAGTGTTTTAGTAATAGGGAGAGAGGATTATATGGGACTTTAAACCACTTTATATAGGCGTTTTTTGAAAACGAAATAAATGAATTTCCACATATTAAACATGCTGACTGCAAGCAACCCACCAAGCCAGACCAAAAGACATCCAAAAACTAGGGCAGTCCTTGGGATTTTTTGGGCCCGTTCATTCGTTTTTGTTTTTTGTGACCCTATGCCCTATGCATGTTGCTATAACTCATTCTATTCTATAAATTGCAGCACTCTTTAGTCTTGAAACTGTCATTTGGCTAGGAAACTCTTAGTAGCTCCCCTTGGCTCCCTGGGAATATGGACACACCCCTAACTCCTCACCGCTCCACCACTGAATAGTGGGGCATGTTGAAGCAGGGCGCGGTGGCAGGCTGTCATGCCCTTCTTATCTGCAAACTGCCCCAAGCCGCATAGGTCGCAGGCTGTGGCTCCCGCCGTTGCTGACACCGAGCCCGCTTCGCACGCTTTGCACTCCGTGGTCCCCAAGGTGTTTTGAAACGAGCCCTGAGAACCTGGGGGCCAGTGCTGAAGGAAAGTTCTTGGATGACCCTTTGTTACGATTGGAATTGGAAAGGGTGCTTGCCTGTGCATTTTCCAAGACATATCTGAGTCTGGAAAAAAACAAAGTTACTTTCTTATTAATAAGCAGCCCCAATTAATCCCACATTATCCCAGTATCCCACATTCCAAAAATGTTTGGCACTACCACTTTGGGTTGGTCCCTTCCTATTAATAAACATGTGCGACCCCCTATTAAACAACACGTTTCCTCACGTTTCCGATAGTCCCAGGGTCTCAGCGACGCGGAGACACCAGGATATTACCTGGATCCCAAAAACCTGTGTTGTCACAGGCATCTAAGACTACGCACAGTAGTCAGTCGTGGGGCACTACTCTGCAAAACTGCGTCAACTGTGGTCAAAAGGTCTTGCTTCATACAAAGTGGGATACACATCGTCCAAAACTGTAAAATGCTGCTAGCAGGTCTCAAGTGTAAAGGTTGTATTGGTTTCGACTGAGAAGCCAGTGCTCCTTGAACCCACTTGGAGAAACTTTTTGTGCGAGCAACGAAATCAGTGGATTTTGTGTTTCCGGCTGCATTTTCCCATGTCTTACGGCTCTTGTTGTACTTCACGCCTTTGGCGTTTGTTTGGTACTCATACAAAGCATTCAGTTGGAACCAGGAGACCGCCTGGACCGGCGCATCCTGATCACATACCGTTTGAAGCCATTCTGCTATCTTTGATGCTTCTTCGCGTTGGTAACTTTCCGCAAAGCTTTCATCGATGAGAGAAGAAAAATCAACTGCTCGTACTTCTTGTGCATCAATCCTGCTTGGGTGCTGCTTGTCTTGCGCGCCACCAGTTGGCACTTGACTCTGTACCGCCACTTGAGCCACGGCTATCATGGTGTCATGAACCTGGTTCCTCATGATATGAATTGCTTCAAGATCGCGATGCAGTTGAGTCCAGTCTTGGTATATCTGGCCATGGCGGCAAAAGGCTGTCTGTGCTAACTTGTCAGCTGCTTCGTTACCTGCAAACAACCATGCTTCGGCCTCATCTTGTGCTGTGTGCGGGTCCTGGTGACTACTAATTTTAACTATTTGCAACGATTCTCCCAGCTGACAAACCAGTTGCTGCGCGATTTTCCACAGGTCTGCATTGGTGGAGTTGGGCTTGATTTTGACTTTGTGAGTTTTGAACTTGCCCAATCTTTTAACAACCGTGTGATTGTCGCACCAGATTCTGATTTGACATTTCTGAAGGATTGCAAATTTCATGGCACTGATTGCTGCCCACAACTCTCCTCGCAAGGCAGTCTGGACCCACCCTGGCACGAGTCCGTTTGACAGTGGCCAAAACCTTTGAGAGTCTACATCCCCTATCACTACCCCCCAAGACGCAAGTTTACCTAGTGGGCTGGTTGGTGCAAGGCATCCTCCATCTGTGAAAACTTCAAGAAAGGCAGGGATTATTGGGGGGTATACAAAGTCTTGGTGTTCATCCACTATCTGTAAGCAGGAGTTTTGAAACTTGGGCACACTGGGCGGCTCAGGCATCCATCCATGGGCCGTTACACTCGCCGGCAGAGTCAAAAGTCCCTCAACCTGTTCCGGGGCCAATTTTCTGACTGCCGCAAAATGCGGGCACAACCACTGTCTGTGTACCTGTGAGTCAGGTTGGTGGCAAAACTTGCACAGGTCTGTACCTTCCACTCCTTTGTTTTTCTCATGATGTTTCAAGCGATCTGCCGTGAAGAAAGTTCCATTCAAGCATGTTCGCAAAAGGGCTTGCTGCTGCGGGTCTTTTTGCTTCAACGTGCAGTTGTTGTTAACAATGGCGACATCCACTGCATACCCTGCATTGTTTTTCTTTCTGCTGCTTGTCCCTGGACACGTTGCTGCCAGGCTTGTGCTAACCTAGCATTGAGTTCTTGGATGGGGCAATTAACCAAATCAATGACTCTCATCATGTGATCCCAGAAAATGCACCCATGCGACCAAGACCATGATATCTGCTGCAGTCTTGCCAACAAAACGGAGACAGGCCCTGGTCTCGGCACCACTGTTTTGCGGGGCAAATGGAGTTCCGCCAAGCAAAAGGCTGCAACATCCTCATGAGGAACATGGCTCGGAACATGACCACTGTTACATACAAGGCATGAAATTGAGGATCTGCATGCACTGTTTCAACTAGGCTCAGGTGTACTGGTGGGGAAACTCCCGGGCTATGTTCTCCTAACCCTTGAACCGCTCCCGTACGCAAACGTTGGAAATGGTCTTCCCCTAAATGAACAGAGGCAACCCCATGCAGGCATGATGCCCATGCTTTGGTTCGCAGGGCTTGGACTTTCTGTCTGTAGGGTGCCAAGGACCTAGCTAAACGTCCCCAAACCTTTTTGATTTTTTCACACCTCTCAGTGATCGAACTGTTGGTGACAACTTGGCTATATTGAACATGCCCTCCCAAGTCTCTTGCCGCAAGTTTCACCTGGAGGTGTTGGTCGCGGAGCTGTTTGCGTTGGGTGACACTAACTGACCATGTGTAGCTCTTGGAATCATCTATGACCATGTCCATTGCATGACACAGGGCATGGAGCCCATCAAGTGCTTGGAGGACTGCATCAGCGTTGGGACCCGTAAGTTCCCAATTGTCAACAAACGTCCAAAGCATGGCTGCTGGGTATCTACGTAGCATATATTGATGGACTACTATGTTGGCTGCTAACATGCTTGTCACCGATAAGCTACAACCCTCTGCAAAACCGCTGGTTGACTTCAGTGGTGGTCCCACACATTGATGTATGGTGAACCTCCTTTCCAGAGAAACTAGGGCTTTTGACCAGGCAATCAAGATCTGCGGGGCAACGTTGAGGATCCGCATGAACTCAAGGATAGGAACTCGTGGGAGCATGTTGAAAGCTTTCTCAAGGTCAACTACTCCACCGGTCAGGTCCATTTGTGCATATTGGGCTACCTCGATTTGTGCCATGATGTGATACCAGATATCAGCTGCTTGACGGCCTGGGACACTGCCTGCACATGTCGGCGGTGCGTACGGCTGCAAGTGATTCAGGATTTGTCTGGCTCTTATTGAACTCCATGTCCTAAAGGCAACTGGGAGTATAGTTATTGGTCGGAAGTGCTTTGTTTGGGATGCTGACGGAATTTTGGCCAATGCCGCTACGATCCCCAAAACAAGTTGGCGGGGCCATTGGTTACCTGTTTCAATGCCTGCAAACAGTTCAAGCAAGGCTTCGGTTGCCTGATCCGGCAGGTTCAACAAGTCTTGCCTGCTTACCCCATCGGGGCCAGTAGCTGCTTTTTTCCGTTTGGATTTCAAAGCTTTGGTCCACTCTTCCTTTGTGATGGGGCAATATTGCATAGGTGGGGGTCTAGGCAACGCCAGGTCGGCAAATTGGATTATGGGGTCCCACCTATCAGGGTCGACATCATAATGTCTGTCCCACCGGGCCCTCCACTCTTCGCCAAACTTGGCAAACATCTCAGGCAATTTCCCAATGTATCTTTCCTGCTCAAGTGTCATGCCTGGTGCAAGATCGTCTAGAGATTCCAGCCATATTTTGCTTTCTTCTGCTGCAATAATACCAAAAGAATTAGTTTCGGACCGCGCTGGTTGGGCTAGGTCCCATTGGATATCCTTATGCATTATTACTGCTGATTCTTCAAAGTCAAGTTCCGTGATGGCTGCTTGTTTTTGATCTACCAACATTTGCACTGGCAATGGTTTTTCATCACGAAGGTCTTGGAAAATGACAACTGGGTCGTCTTGGCGGCGTTTCTTGGCTTCTGTGCTCCGCTGTGCATTCAGCTGTTTTTCAAAAGCCGTTAACAGGCGATGGAAAACTTGGCACACCTCAGTGGCTGGCGTGTGATTAGGTGGTTCACATGGTGGGGGTTGAGTCATGTTCCCGTGCTCAACCATCCATTCTGCAAAACAGGGGGCAAACCCTGTGGCGGACATGATGCTATTCCACAACTGTTCACGGTGATTTTTTGCACTGGGGGTGCCTTTGAAATCTTGAACAAGTCGAGCATAGTTAACCAACCTCCTATATTGTCTTACCCACCTGCAATGCTGCTGGTTGAGCCCATGGAAACTTGGTTGAAATTCCCCCTCCCTTGATTTTTTGATGGGAGCTGAATGCTCTTGAACCCAAACCACTTCAAGCTGTTGTCCCCTCCCCCTCATGGAGTTGGGGAGGGCTCCTTTCCCTTTGGTTTTTCTGGCTTGATCTACTGCTGATTCCACTCTTTGCATGAGTGCCGCATAGTACAAAGTGGGGTCTTGATCTCCGGGTGGTGATTCAAACCTGGCTTCAACTTCTGTTTTGTCTACCGCATTCCAATCGATCGGAGCTGGGTGTTTCCACAATGGCAACAGTGGAGGACTACCGAGTGGATGGAACCTGGCTATCAAAATCGAATGGTCTGCGAACCAATCATGTTGAACCTCAACATCTTTGAGATACATGGCAAGTTGTGGGCTGACATAGAGATGGTCTTTTGTAGTTTTTTGCTTGCATGTGACTTGGATCGGTTTTCCCAACTTTTGGCAAGCCCAACTTTGAACATTTACCCATCCCGCATCAGCCCACTGAGTCATGTTATCTAGGGCTCCATCAGGTTGATTGAAGTCCCCCCCGATAAACTGCAGACCCTGGCTTTGCCTAAGTAGGCGTTTGGTGACATGGTCGCAAATTGCATCTGTTTTTTGCCGGGTGGCAATGGTTTCCGGGTGAACCGCATGGCCGTAAACCACCCCTCCCTGGATCCAGCGCTCCCCAATTTGAAAGCAAGACACATGAAAACGGCTGTTTAGCCATTCCTCTTCTGGCCACGTTGCTGTCATCGCCCTGGCGGGCGCGGTGGTGAGGAATCCGACTCCTCGATGTTTGCCCCCTATGGCTGATGGTGTGTGCGAACGGAGCGGCACAGGTGCTCCTAGCTGAGCTTGCATTCCAGTTTTATGGAAATGTAGCTGCCTTTTGAATTTGGTCATGCCGGGTGCTGACAAATGCGTCTCTGACACAGCACATACAGTGTGTCCACTGGCTGCCCTGGGCAAATCAGCTATGACACTAGCTTTGTCCAAAAGTCCCGTTGGATTTAAGCATCCTATCAGGCACTCAGATTGGGGTGGTCCTGGCACGGCTGCTTCTCCAATTCTGTACATGCATACAAAGAAACACAAAATGAGCCGCAAAATGCGATATGCTCCTATACATTTGTGTGGGCTTCCATGGTGATATAGTCACTCATTGGTGCGCTGTCTCTTGCTGAACAACTGCTCGATTCGCTGCATCTGCTGCTCCAGTTTTGATTCCAATGTGTTTTGGAAAAACCCCTGTTGTTGATCAACTTTGTTATCCAGTGCAGTGAGCTGAGTCTGGACAACTTGATGCTGTCTGGCCGCTTCTTGTTGATTGGCCACAACTGTTTGATTGAGTTGATCCAGCCTGGCTTCAAGCTCAGTCACCTTCGTGTCATGTTCCGGCATATCGACATCATGCTGTTTCATCCTGGCGATGATGCTTTGTTCAATCCTGCTTTCAAGAGATGCAACCTGGCTTGTCGGCATTTCTCGTGTGCTTGGCCGGGCCCATGGGTCATGGTGAATCCACGGGTCCTCAGGACTGTTGGTCACTGCATTGGCTTGAAGTGCTTGGATGGTCTTGGACGAAGCTACAACTGCTTGGGGTGGTTGCTGCACTGGAATCACTTTGTCTTCTGGGGATATCAGCACGTCTCCATGTGACAATTGAAAGATCCAATGTGATGGTGGTTCTGCTGCTTGCACTAGCCACATGACCCCTGAACGGTCTTTTGCTTGGCCTTGTGGTGCAACCGGCCGGGCTTTCCATTCCCATTTAGAAAAGACATGAACCAGGGACTGTTTGGTTGAGCCAAAAGGCATGGGGCCCACTCGATACTTGACAAGTTCCGTCCCCTGTATGTACACCAGATCAGGCCTGTGCAGTTGATGGAGTGCCTCAGCTTCATGGCTCGCTACCCGCAGCCCATACCTGTCAGCTTGTCTGACCAGAGTAGTTGGTGTCTTGGAAGTTTGCTGGCTGACCTGGGCCTCACTGAAGGACTTCTTGGGCAACCAAACCACTTGGAAGGCTTCATCTGGATGTCTTCCGTCCTGTGTCCTAGGCTCAATGTATGTTCCATGGCACCCATTTGCTTTGAAGACTTCTTCTTGCACCTTTTGGTTGATTCGCAGGTTGACACTGAAGATGTCCGCTTCTTCCGGTTGGACTCGTTGCATTCTGGTGGTCATGAACTGCCGGTCCCATACATCTATGACATCACTTGGTTGCAGTTGTCTGAATGGCTCCTGTTGCATGAGGCACTTGACTGGGCTCTTCACAAAATCGTTCCAGACTCCTGCATACTGGTCTTTGAACAGCAGGACCCGGACAACTTGATTTGGCACTTCTGGAACTGCAATGGTCTGAGCTGGGGTGTTTCTCACCACTGTTTGTTGACCTATTTGAACAACCGCTACTTTGACGATCAAAGGGTCATGAGTACCACGGCTTTGGACTGGTACCTTCATTACTTTGTGCTGCTGCGGCAATCTTGGGTCATCAAACTCAAGGACAAGCAAAGCAACTCCTTTCTGGCTTACTGCTTCATTGAGCTGGAAGTATGGCAATGCTTCGGCAATGTTGACGATTGCAACTCCTTGGCAGCCTGGAGCAATTTGGGCGGCACCAATCTGGCTCAACTCAACTCCGTCATTTTGCTTAAACACCGCATGGGGTACCTCAAGCATTTCGGCTTTCAGCTGGAGTGGTGGCTTCTGTGGCATTTTGTTCTTGACCTTGTTGGCTTTGTTTCCCACTGGTGTGGGCGACTGGGCTTTTTGTTGGATGAGGGTTTTCAACTCCTCGGCCAGGACGATCCTGATTGAGGGACGCTGAAGACTTGCTCGGGACTTCAAGTCTGCCCATGGTTTGGGTGAGCCTAGGATCTGCTTGATGGCAGGGAGGCCTAACGCTTGGATCAGCTGTTCTGCACATTCTTGACTTCGTCCTGCTGCTACGCCATGTTCTGTGACAAGCTTTTGCAGTTGGTCTCTCTGCACTTGCATGCCTCCCAGGGTCAACTGGTGAGTGATCATGTTGTCTTTTCTTCCAGTGTATTGGAGGTCAGCATAAAACAACCCTCTCCACTGTGCTGCTTGTTCTTCGGAAAACGGTACACTGGTTGTGTCGTCCAAGATGGTGGACAGGATCCATCCAACTGCTTGAAATCCACAATCCGCTTCAAAGGCATTTGGCATGACACTGGCAGAGAATTGGACTGCTTCGTTTCCGATCACTGCTTCAAGCATGAGCTGAATCCAATGCACTGACTGTGGGGTGGTCAGCAGTTGGATCATGATTCCCTGCGCACGTATGATGACTGGTATCCAGTGGCCATTGTGAAGGATGACAAAGGCCTTGAGTCCTCCATCTGGGTCAGCAGAGGCTGCATTGGCTACCCTCAGTACGTACTCAGTGAGCATGGTATGTTGATCCAAACGGTCAGGCAAATGCAGAATCCCAAAAACTGATCCAGGCCGATAGCACTCAATCATATACAGGTAGTACTCCATTTCATCATCCGCAACCCACCCTTTTTGATCCCACAGCAATCTTCCTCGCGTTTTGTTCATCAACACTGGGGGCTGAGGAAACGCAGGGCAGAACTGAGCTGAATCACTTTGGTTGGGCTCTGCGGCTTGGAGCATATACCAGCCTTGGTGCTTCACTGAGGTGTCTGGGGAAATTGGGCTACCAAAAACCGTTGTAACTCCTCCATATTTGTTCTCATTGATCTCGGCATTTGTGGCTGCAACCAGGTGGGCAACAGTATGGGTTGCCTGAGTTTGCACAAGGAAAAACCCCTCCCCCGGTTCAACAACAAAAACTTGACATGTGTCTTCTCTGGTGGAGTCTGCTGGACAACTATCACCAAGGGCTCTGTCTTCCGGGTTGGAAAAACCATGTTGCCCCTGACTTTCACCCTTTGCTACATCGTCAGATCTGGCATGTTGATGGGACTCATGATATGCTGCTACTTTGGCTGGGCCTGCATCACCAACGCTTTGGGGAAGGTGTACAGCCTGCTTTGGTTCCTCATGGTTCGATGTTACAGTTTTTTCTATACTGCATTTTGCAACATTCTGGGATCCCTCCGTGTGTGCGGGGAAATGTTTTGGGTATTTCGGCGCTCCTGCTGGCATCTGTTGTTTGCGTTTCACGGCAAAACCTGGCACTGCTCCAAGGCGAAAAACACTGCGATCAAAAGGAGTCACTGTTTGTTCATTGAGGGCTTGGACAACTTCTTGATCAAACTCCGGGTCATCATAGAAGTCATGATCGGTGGAATGCACCTTGTGGTCAGGCTGCTTCCTTTGCTGCGGCTGCTGGTCTGTTTCTTCTTGCCGAGGCAGGAGATCACTAGCAGTTGATCGTTCATCATCCGAGATGGGATCGTCTGGGTATGGGTCGTCTTGGCACTGCGATTCCTGGCTCACTTCATACCTGACCTGATCAGTATCGTCAGCATTGCTTTGGCTGTGAACACTGCTTTTTTCTACTGGTGATTCTTCATCCATTTGGGTGGGGCCCCCACACCCTAAGCGTGGAAGGGGCATGGCATGAAAGAGGGTGGGCGGGACATGGCGGCCTGACTGCATGGGGGGTTGCTCTGCACTCAGAAAACCATCAACAGCTTTGGCATGCTTTGGATCCTGATTTTGCATTTTTTGAAAAACGTTATGGGCATCTGTGTCAGCTTCCTTGCCATCGGTAGCGGAACCTGCCGGGTGGTTTTTCCCATTTGGATGACTGGTAGGTCGGTCATCGGAAGCTTTGGTCCAGTTGGCTGGATCATTTTCACTTTCACCTCCTTCGGAGGGGCAGTGTTGTACACCTGTTTGGTGCATCATGTATTCTTCCAGTTTTATTCCGTTGCTTCGATGAGGTACTTGGTCTGTGATGTCTTTGACATCCATACTCTCACCACCTACTAGATCGCTATTGGCGGACTGGATTGGCATGACAAAGCTCGGATGGCATTTCTCAGGTACATCAGGCTGGTTATGACCCTCATGTTGACATTCTTTTCCCTCTTGTTCCTTTCCTATCTCCATTCGGGCGGGGCCCCCACACCCTAAGCGTGGAAGGGGCTTGGCATGAAAGAGGGTGGGCGGGACATGGGTGGTCACTGGTGTGGCCTGATGCATGTGCTTTGCTTGGTCATTGCATTCACCTGCCTGCCTGGTCAAGTCTTGTTGCACTGACTCTGGATGGGAAACCTCACTAATGGTTTTCTTCTCTGGCGGATGCTCGGATGCTTTACCATGCTCCCCCCACCCTGGTCGTGAAAAGGGACTGGCATGGCCATGCACAGCTGGACAAACGGATGCACTCTTCGCTTCACTCAGCACTGCTGGTTCGATCGGATGCAAAACTCCTGATGATTTATCTGTTCCCCCACACCCTGGTCGTGGAAGGGGATGTGCTGAGTCATTGTCCAGGCTGAGGTTGTGTGGACCTGCTATGTCGTGTGTGCAGGCTGGCAATCCCGTCTGGTCTGTCTTTTCTGCGCGATCATCACCCCCACACCCTGGTCGTGGAAGGGGTGACTGCTTTGTTGGGCATACGTCGGATGCAAGCGGGTGAGTCTTGGATATATCGACATTGCACATCTTTTCATCAGGCACTTGCTTGTTGAGGACATCATGTGTGAAATCATCAGGTGGCAAAAAGATACACGGTGTATCCAGGCTTTCAACCTCTTGGTGGAAAACTTTCATTGATTTCGACAGTCCTTGGGTTGGCCACCATTCGTCTCTTTCCTGCAGCAAGTGGCGACACAAATTGGCATGTACATGTCTTGGGTGAATCTCGGACTCATGTAATCCCTGTTGGGTGACTTGGAAAATCATGTTTGAGAGAACTCATGCCCCTTGAAGCGGGGATGCAAGCTGACCTACTCCTGCCAGTTCCAATCTCAATGGTACTGTTGTTGATGGTTTCACATGAGAAGGCAGCAAACCGTTCAACAAGGCAACTTCTTGGGGGTGTGGATGTCGCATAGCTTGGACTTTCCGATTGCCCAACATTTCTTCTTTTTCAAGAGGGATCAACACTGCATACAGCCCTTTTTGGTCAATTCTTTTTTGGCTAAACCCATTCGACCTACAAGCGCACAAACACGCAAGCACTTGAGACCCCCATGAGTGTGTGGCTGTTTTCATAGCTTTATACACATCAATGACATTTGGTCCAATACCACCTGGGGCATCATGAAAGCTACGTAGTTCATAGAGCGACAAAACCAACTGGGCCATTTCACTCTCGGACATCGGCAGCATGCTTCGGATCAAATGCATGACACTTGGGACAAATCTCATGGACGGCATGGGTGGGATGGACTGGACAGACAAGGCCGGATGCGCAATGATGGCCCACCAGCGGGTCCGCTGGGCAGGCCACGTTTCATGGAGCTTCAATATGGATTGCCTCACAGTGCATCCTGTCTGGGTTGCAAAACGGTGCAGTTGTTGTTGGATCCACTCTGACTGATTGGCTTCCTTTGTACACTCCAAAATGATTGCCAAACTTCCCAAAAAGAAACCCATCATCATTACGCCAGTAAATGATGCACTTCGGGGATCTTGACCTTGGCCTCCATCTCCTAATCCTGAAAAAGGTTGACATGATATGCCCGCTGATAAGACATGTGACTCTTGGACGTGTTTGGATACCTCATACACTGTGTTGGGGTCATTGACACAACCTCGGATGCATGGGCTCTGAGAGCGAGCTTCCTGCCATTGGTGAAAAGCTTGGTTGGATTCGATGTGGCATACAATTTGAGCACCACATTCTGTGAAGCCCTGAGTGACTGCCCCAATTCCACTGCAAGCGTCAATCACTTTGTAGAGTCCCTTCATTTCAGCTACCTGTCTGGGGAATGTCCTCGTGTCAGGTCCAGCTTTGATCCACCACTTCCCTTCACTGTATTGCAAGACTCCATTGAGGATGACATGGCTTTCAATCCCTTTTTGAAGAACGCAATCAGTGAAGAACTGCTGATGGTTGATAGTTGTCAGGCACATGTGTCGACCTGGTTGGCACACCACCGTCTTCAAAACCACTGACACCAAAGGATCCTCCAGTTTATTGAAATCCGGGTCCAACTCCCAAGGGGAACATCTCATGGCTCGGAAAAAACCCTCCCAAATGTTCAGTCTGAACAAGCTCACCTACTGGAAGGAATTTGGGCCCAAGCTTCCTATTCAACAACACCCTGCTCAGAAACCCTAATTATGTGGTAGTCAGGATATAGTTAGTTTTTGATGTTTCATATATATAATAGTGTTTCAATTGTTGAACAGTTATATCTTGACGGGGTATCCCATGCCCAATCTCACCATCTCACCCCGTTGGGAAGGAGGTTGCCACTGAAAAGAGAAATCTCGACCTATTGGCAGGCAGGTTGGTTGTCTTTAAATGTATGAAAAGCCCTAGTTTTTTGATTGGGGAGTACTCTTACCTTCTAGGGGGCGTTATTAATCCGAACTTGGCATTATGACGATCTCACAACCACTCGAATATCTTAGAATAATCATTAATAATAATATTTAATATATATATGTATGTGATACATAGTATAATATCAATGTATCTATGGCGTGGACTGGCTATACACTATACACCCCCACTTCTGAACTGGAAAACTGCACCCCTGAAGAGGGATGTGCTCTTCGAGGTGGCAGAGACTTTGGTCGATCAAGACCCAAACTTTCGAAGCATGGCAAATTAAAGTTACAAACCTGAAAGGTATATGGCATATGGATGCATATGGCTATATCGGACTATTTCATTATATTTCTATTACCCCATCATTACATATCATTATCATCATTCCAGAGCCATGCTTTGTCCGATATTGATGGATTTTGAATGATTTTGTAGTTTGTACTGATTTCACTTGGTCAAGAAAGTTTGGTTCACGGTGAAGGGCAAGGATGCACAAGACTTGTCATTAAAAAAGCCATTTAAAATCAGTCTCTACCCTCAGGTCATCAAACATGGCACAAGGAAAATTCCCTTATCAATGGAGGCTTCATTGGAAAGTCTGTACTTGTAGGATGTTCATTGACATAATGCCTATGTGCATTTCATGGCCAGCATTGGCCAGCCGTGTTTGAGGACCGAAGGCTTCTTGGCCCAGCAACACTGCACGCACACTCGGGTGCCCTCGCTCTTCTCCTGGGACAAAACTCAAATGGGGCCCATGGGGACGGGGTGCCCTCGGTACCCTTCGGGAAAAGCAGCACAGCTGTAGAAAATGACCATGCTTAGATGACTGGACGTGTTTTTTTTCGTGGCCATTTTCTCCTGCCAGAGAGCAGTTATATAGTATGTGTCAAACGGTCAAAGACCGACCACTGCACATAGATACGGAAAATCCACACCATACGGAAAGGAAAAGCTCCCATGGCTTCCCAGGTTACCCCGCACAGCTGGGGAAATCGACTTCAAAAGCCATGATTCGACTTGGTGGAACTTACCGGCTTCAAAAAATTAAAGTATTTGGATAGCACGGAGATCATGCGGCAAATATCACAGAGATGCGCATCTAGAAACATCGAATGAATGGTGGGTTAGAACGGCGGGGTAAATCTCTCTATTAAGGGTCCGAGCCGAGGGCGGTCAATTGCCAAGTTTGATCAAAGTTCCTTGTTGGGAAACTGGGAAACGGATGTGCCGTGGGAAGTGAAAAAGTGAGACCCTATCTTAAAAAAAAACAAACAGTCAAGCCGGATATAGAATCTTGGATAATCTTGGTACCCCAAATTCCCCCGACCATCACCCTAACGATCGCCGGCAACAAAGCACCAGGATGTTGATGTTTTGCCCATCAACATGGCCAAACATTAACTCATTGACATGGTGCCATTGTTTTCATTTTCTACCACCATCCAGTTATATGAACAACAGATTTGCAATATTTTACAATATTTTACAATTTACATATTTCAGGTGCGGATGATCATCTACCATCAGATGATCATCATCTAAATCCCATTCTGAACACCCATTCGGAATGTGGCTTTTCGGATCAGATCAGAGTTGATCTCGCCCAGCTTCCGAGGTGTGCCCGGCAGGGCAAGTGGCACATTCCACTGCCTGACTTCTATCCTTGGGCCAGGTCTGTTCGGCAGCTAAGATGACCGGAGCATCACTGCGCATTTCAATAATTTCATCAGAAAATTCGACTATAGCCATTTGGGGTCGAAGAAACACTTTCGACATTCTTGGACCAAAGCCAAATGGGTATATAATTAACCAAGCCGTGCGTTTTCATGATGTATCTCCCTGCAGTAATTGATGAGCTCAACGTAGCTAGTGTGCCTTTGCGAGCACATACCGAGCCGACCCACATTGTATGGTACTGTAGAAATTCATGAAGCAGAAAAGGGCACAGGTCGCAAATTCGGACCTAGCCACCTTTGGAATACTGCAATACTACAGATTCAACTCACCCCGATCTCTGAAAAAACCTGGGGATGCCCCGAAATCCAGTGGCTTATCATCCTTTCCCTCCCCCTCTAAAAACCGAAAATGTGGGATATAAATGGATATAATAATACCCTCTGGTAATCAAACATGGCTAGCTGGAACACCCACGCAGCTCTATGATTTTCCAAATGTAACACTTCCATTTATGGATTGTCCGATGATATTCCCGTATCTTCCAAAGATTTTCCAAAGATTTTCCAAGTACAAAAGCTCCATTTTTTCGGCGGATTTCGCACTGATGAAAAAACGGGTCACCAAAAAATCAAAAAAAATAGGCCCAGGTACCAGAACAAGTTGCCCATTCGCATCTACGAGCCCTCGTCCCTCAGGACACAGGGTCTTGTCCTCAGCTCTGCGGTTTTGTTGGGAGAAAAAATCATCTTTTTGTTGGGAAAATGTGTGGGTCACCTGACTTGCTGGGAGGTTGAATTCCCATGGTCATTGGCTTGGATGAAGGGAAGAACATCAGAAACTCAGTGTCTTTCCCCCCATGAAACTTAGAAGGTTCGTGCAAATGTTCCCTTCATCCAATGCTGTGAGCTTCGGATTTATCTGCGGAAAGCTGATGGCTTCAAGCCACTCCAAGAAATTATTGGGGATCACTCTCGTGCAGTGAAGGAAGCAAAACACAAATAACTCACGATCAAATCTACGTTTGACTTCCAAAACCAATTTTAGAACGTTTGTGGGAGAATGCCCCACATACTTCACAGGGTCCCAGTGAGAGAGAATTTGGATTGCTCAGCTGTTCTGAACGCATCCATATGAATGTTGATTGACGTAGAAAATAACGTTATTCACGCTTCTTAGCGTTACAAGTAAGCTACCCTGCATTAGCGTTTACATTAACGACGGATGTAGCGTTATTATACGTCATTAACGTTGATTAGTGATAATAAGCCTCTTCATTCCTCTTTCTGAAGAAGAACACGTGTCTGTTCCAGTCAAATGAAATTGTCCGGGGCTCTGCTTTCGGCTCGCTGTCGGAAAAGAAAAACAAAAAATTCTCCATGCGTTGTGTGTCACGGCCACGAGACTGCAGCAGAACATGTACCCAATAACGAACATATCATGAATCAACCTCGCAATGATGTACAACTTAACGCACCAAATCAGAAAACACTAGGAATACAGGAATGTCTTGTGTTGAAATCTCCCATCTAATGCCATCTAATACTAACCTAAAGTTATCATGGAAATATGATACCACTTGTGGCCTTCAACCCCTAGAGCTGTCCCTCGATGGTAAGCCTTGGTGATGTTATTGACCGATGCAAGAAATTAGAGTTTCCATAGCAGAAACATCCACCATAGTGGTGAACTTTGATTTTGCAATGGGCCTTGTTGGGTTGGAAATGATGATTTCAAACAGGGACGGTGGTACCACCAAGGGGCAACCACATTGCGGCAATCGCTGAAAAATCTCTGTGAGTTCGATGCTTTTCCAATTTGCCCATGTAGCTCTCAGATTTCCAGCTATGTTTGATGACACAGGAGGGTAATCCAAACTTTAACCCAAGCCCAAGATCTACAGTATGTTTTTAGTTTATGCATGTTTATCATGCCTTTACCATCTTAGATATTCCCCAACGATTTCTAGTTAATGATCTTGCCAGTTCCATGGGTCGCCAAGGTACAGGAACCCATGCAGACCAAATCTCTCGGTTGTCTTTGAGCCATGTGCATGCCTGAGGATCTGGATGAGTTACATCAAACATGGACGACATGGCAAGGCAAAGACATTTGCACAGCTATACACTGGACAGCATGCAGAGGAAGTTGCCTTTATTATACATGTGACTATCAGCTCGTATACCACTAATTAATGTATAACCCTCAACCATATAGAAATGAACGTAGATAAACACATGGATTGCAAGCTGCAAATCTTTCATAATAATTCGTAAGTGTGAAGACTTTCCCGGGTTTTGTTCTTCTCCGGTAGACATTTCAATTCCCCAGTGGGATAGTACCATTCGCTTCACCTTTACGAATTAAGATCTCCTACTTTAGCTGTTTAAGCCCTGCGGTCGTTTATTCCTGTGGCAAACTAACATCCCAATGTGGCAACTCCACCATTTGAAGATCATGTTCGTCGGAAAAACCGTAGGTTTTCCACATCTATGTAATAGTTGTATTTTTCCACACACTAAAGTGACTAAACCTTCCCACATGCTTTCTCCTGGGACCACATGGCTCACATCCCCCATGTTCACCACCAATAAAGTGCTCCCGGTCCCGCGGTCCAAGAGACTGTCTCATAGGGATCAGGGCCACTGGGTCCAGCGATCTGCTTGTGCAAAATCACCAATTTCTGAATCTCACCTGGGCTGGGCCAAAGGGGATCATGCTGGAACTTTCCCAACACTTCCCATGGATTGATTGGTGATTGATGTAAGGGAAAAAAACCGTTGAAAACGGAGACCCTGAACCCTCCAAACCAAGCCGAAACTGGCAGGCTGTGACAGTTGGAGGCCAATCATGGTGATTATTGATGATTACGGTTTGTAAACTGCCAGGTGGTTCTTGATTCACGGGTAAAATGTTAAAAAAAAACAGTAATTACATGTAGTTTCAATATTTGATAATGGCGATGAAATATAAAAGTATACTTTGAAAAATGATGAAAAATGGGACAACAACATGAAGATGCGACGGGTTTTTGATGCGGGGACATTCAATAACATGTAGCAGAACGGGAATTATCTTTGAGACAAGAAAAAAATCCAAAGTTCCACTTCGTTAGCAAAGTTGGTTTATAACTATAGGTTAAGTATGGTTTACGGTTATAAGAAACCAACACACACAACCGATCATTGGAGGCCAACTTGGACTAAGTCGCTTTGGTCAACGTAGAGGTTCTTCATCAATCCATACGAACGATCTTCTGCAGCTTTCAGAGCTGGCGCGGTGCATTTCAGGGAGGCACACCCTGCGTTTTGTTTTCCAACTATATATTGAAATCAAGCATCCAAAATTGGACAAAATTGGAGGCAAATTCACTAAACATCACCGAATTTATAAACCATCCTTTTTTTAGCAGAGCTAAATGACCCATGTGGGTTGGTGCGAAACGAGGTAACTAGGTGATGTCCCAACTTAACCCACTTAAGTGGGGAAAATTTCTGGCCATTTAGAAGAGAACCCCGTATGGCCAGGGGTCAAAACCTGTGGGGACCCCTTGTTTTCACAACCAAACAGTTGGCAAAGCTGGATGCTCATCGAACGGCAAGAAAATTAAGATTTATGTAACATAGCTACGTATGGAAACTGGCCTACTTATTGAT